GTCAATTAGAAGACACAAGATTTAACGATACTGTGTAATAACAACATGGTGCTGTTCTGTACAACAAGTATAACGCTATGGTGCTGTTCTGTACAACAAGTCTAATAACACCATGGTGCTGTTCTGTACAACAAGTAATAACACCATGGTGCTGTTCTGTACAACAAGTTAATAACAACATGGTGCTGTTCTGTACAAGTATAACAACATGGTGCTGTTCTGTACAAGTATAACAACATGGTGCTGTTCTGTACAACAAGTGTAATAACAACATGGTGCTGTTCTGTACAAGTATAACAACATGGTGCTGTTCTGTACAAGTATAACACCATAGTGCTGTTCTGTACAACAAATATAATAACAACATGGTGCTGTTCTGAACAAGTATAACAACATGGTGCTGTTCTGTACAACAAGTATAACACCATAGTGCTGTTCTGTACAACAAGTATAATAACAACATGGTGCTGTTCTGTACAAGTATAACAACATGGTGCTGTTCTGTACAAGTATAACAAGATGGTGCTGTTTTGTCCAAGACGTGTTTTCCTTATAATAACTTTACATCTCTAAACTGATGAAACTACGAAGAAAAATAACCCGTTTATCACTTCTTTAATAAATCTAACGTTTGACGATTATAAACACTATTAAATACAGCATTTTTAATGTTTTGTACTCAATATATAGCGAAACAAATAGACTCTTAATAAGTTTCAGCACAAGCCAGTCCGTGAAATGTAATAATAAGTTTCAGCACAAGCCAGTCTGTGAAGTGTAATAATAAGTTTCAACACAAGCCAGTCCGTGAAACGTAATAATAAGTTTCAGCACAAGCCAGTCCATGAAATGTAATAATAAGTTTCAACACAAGCCAGTCCGTGAAACGTAATAATAAGTTTCAGCACAAGCCAGTCCGTGAAGTGTAATAATAAGTTTCAGCACAAGCCAGTCCGTGAATTGTAATAATCTGAACTTAAATCAGTTCCAGAAATTGATCCTAGATTTTGTAAACTATATTTAACACCGCTACAGAACAACGATAATAAACCCCCAAACCACGCCTGCTTCTAAGCGTAAAACACGAACAAGCAGCTGGGAGACAAAAATATCTTGAAACTAGAGTAACAAACATCCCAGTAAGAAAAAAGAACTGGCTGAACAAATGACGATCAAAATGGACGATTACGTAATAAGTGACGTCAGATATAGATGGTATCTCCAGATGAACAGGTGTGCGACTGTAGAGTATGTGTATGTGTGTTTTGTTCTATGCATTATGAAGTTCATCTAACAAATATTTAATGCATATAAATTTATGGATTTCCATGTTTTACTTATACTTATGTGTATCTGTAGAGTGTCTGGTTTTCCATGTTTTACTTAAACGCATGTGTATCTGTATAGTGTCTGGTTTTCCGTGTTTTACTTAAACGAATGTGTATCTGTAGAGTGTCTGGTTTTCCGTGTTTTACTTAAACGAATGTCTATCTGTAGAGTGTCTGGCTTTTCCATGTTTTACTTAAAC